AAACATACAGATCCACATGAATTCAATGCTATCCCTTCAAGTATAAGTAATTTTGAAGATTTACACTTTAGTTAGCTGTATAATAGCTTCTTAGGGTTTTTTAATTAAACATTTTAAAGTGAAAGGAGCAGGTAGCTTAGCAGACACCAATATCAGTATCTCCAGGCACGTGAGAGCCATACCTGGATATACAACTAAAGCAATAAAGAGATTCCACAACCTACTACATCAAAAAAATTTCAAGCAGTCAGAAATGGTCTGGTTTGAGAAGAACTTTACATGTTCTCAGAATTACATGCCAAGCAAGCTTCTTTTGGAAGAGTATCTCAGAGACCAGGGAAATAAGCCAGAAAGCCATTTTTCCAATTGCTCCTTCCCTATCTACTAATGGAAATGGCCAGAGGCAGGCCTCCGTGGATGGCCCAAGCATATAGGGGAGTTGGTGTGAAACTAGGCATCCCTCCAAATGCATTATTGCTAATCAGACCAAGGAGGAAAAGCTATCACAAGCTATCATTTAGGAAAGGAAAAGAGCTGTGCAGCAGCTGCAGTTTTTTTACTCTTTGATTTTCCAGTGCTCAAGGCTGTTCTTATTTCAAATGTTTTGTTATTCTTTTTTCATTTTGTTAAAAATATATATATGCCTACACTACCATTATTACAACATTGAGGAGATCATGCCTCAAAAGGTAGTTGACTTTCCAATCATGAGCCTTCTCTGCCTAAACAAAGCAAGCATTTGAGTGATAAACCTTTTTGCCCCATTATCTAAAAAGTTGGAGTTTGTGTGGAACTCACAGAAAATTGTTTTCCCCGAAGTGAGAATATAACTTACTTTTGATTGAAGGGCAGCACTTCCTCCCTTTATAGCATTTTGTCACAAGTACAAATGGGTTATTCAACTGGGAATGAAGTGGTAAATGCTGTGCGCTAACCAAGTCCTCTTGCAAAAATTACTCAGTGAGCGTTGCAGGAATGGAGAAGGCATGTTGCATATATGAAATATGAAAGTGGTACTAAAATATGTCATTTTAATTTGTTCTTGACAGATGTACAATAAGCTTAGAAGCTTCACTCTTATGTCTCCGTTCTGATGTTGGCTTTGTTCTTCAGTGTTATTAAGGTAACTTGGGTGGGCCAAATCTTGCTTGGTTTTTTAATAAGATTCTAGGATTTTGCTTCCAGATGTATTGAGATTGCAAATCTCCAAGTTTGGCCATGTTGGCTTCTATTTTAGAAGTTGTTCTTACACACCTGGCAGACATCAGATTGTGTTAGTCTTCCCAGAGTGTAACTTTCAGCATCAGGAACGAGTTATGGTTAGTTTCTTCCAAGTGGACTTTGCAGGAGGCTTGTGATTAGTTGCTGTAGTAAGTGGAATAATAGACTAGATGGGACTTTGGTCTGAACTGCAGGTAGTGCAGCTAACCAGGCTTTATAACATGCTCTTAAATATTTGTTTTTCCTCAACCATCTGCTTGTTTCTTTACACTTCTTCCAACAGTACTGGTATGTTAATTGAATATGTGCAGCCCTGCATCTTCTAGGTGTTTGCTTTTAATAAAGCTAAACAAACACTTGGTTCCTTTATGACTTGCTTTTGTACTGTTAATCTCTTCTCAATATAACTATATATTCACCAGTTTTTTTTAACTATGTTGATTGTGAACATCCCACAATGCAACCATTTTTCAGAAGACAAACTAGGAAGAATGGTCCCGATGTCAGCTTGTCTATCCTGCCAAGATGTGTTTTGTCTTTTGTGTGTTTGAGTGTGTGTGCAGAAGGGCATATTTCTAAATGTACTTATGTATTTGTAAAGCTTGCAGTACATTTAAAAAGTTTTTTAACAAAGCATCAATATTATGTATATGTCATTGAGAATTAGAGAAAAAGCAAAGGCAGAAAGTGAAGAGGCCTGGTTTTTTTTCATTTGTTGAGCATCATGTATAC